ATAACGTTGTTTGGTCCCCTGCGCCCCGCGCGACGGGACCGAAAGCACAAATCCCCCCGCCCCGAAACCGCCTCTCAGTGTGCCGGTGTGAAACGACACGACGAACCCCGAAACCGCGTCCGGACAGGTACCTGCTGCTGGGCCCACCGCGCCCCTCCCCCCGAAGTGCCACACCAGAGAACCGGGTCTCTCGCGGGACTGTCACACGAGACCCGGGTTTTGCTTTAGATTATTAGGGATGTCTGGCCTTCTGCGCAGGTATGGACTGAAGTTCTAACAGATTCAAATGTGCTGGATAGTAGTACCTCAGTACAAATCAGATTCGTCCAGATCACTTATGCCTTAGATTCGTTTTGCATCTGACGTGGCAGTCTGCCACAGTTCCCTACCTCAGTCCTATCTTTCATATATATATATATATATGCACCCGCAACACTTATGGCTGGTGGGTAGGGTGTTCTAAAGGTTTGGCCCTGCGGTTTCAGCTCTCTATGCATTTACACTTTTATTCTCCTCCATGATACATGCCATAATATCTTGCGTAAGGTCTGGAGTTGTACTTGATTAAGACTTGGCTTGTTTGCCTCTCTTGGTTGTATCCTTGCACGTGATTGAGGATATCCTTGCCATTTCAAACTCATCTTTCTTTTCGGGACATGATGTGCTGTTCTGTTGGTCGATGGTGTTTTGGTGTCCTTTGGCAGGCCTGAAGACCATTCGTGGCGCCCTTGTGATGCGTCTCATGGTGGAAGGCTATAAAAAGGGCCTTATCAAATTTGCCCTCATAACGTGCAGAAAACCATGCTCACAAGTGGTGAGCAATGGTGCCTGAATAATGGTAAGTTTCCACAGAAGAGGCCTCTGGGCTTTCCAGGTGTTGTGATCATCGTATCATGCACACAGCTCAGGTTCTTCGACTTTCAAGTAACTTCATTTTGCTGGATTCCATGCCATAGTGCAGAGTGTCCATTGACTCTGCTTTTGTTCGGACTCTTCACGCATAGTCTCTGATGATCCTATACATACATATATATATATATGCTGGTTTCCTGTGGATTATCCATTGCATATGGATTTTGAAATTCACTCAATTCAATTCAATAAGTGGGCTAGGACTTTCCTTCCTCCCAATCACCCCACATAGAAACTATAGGTATATAAAACAGCTTCAATGCAGAAACATCTGACAGGGACAGACCATATAGACAAGCTAGAGTCAACGAGGGCTTAGGGTCTTAGCTCCAAAATAGGTTAAGAGCAGAAACATAGACGAACAGGCTAACTTCGGCAGGGGTGAAGGGTGGTACATCCCTCTTTCGTGAGGTAATCAATGCCGTCCTTCGGGCCTCCACACCATGAGGAGGAGGTGCGTGAGTGAGTATATATTGTAATCTTTTCTGACTTGCCGGTGGAATAGGAACCGGACTGACGCTCCCCAGAATGGAAAAGGAGTCGGAACCCTAAGGTTCTGTTTTTCAAACTTAAAAAAAAAAGTGAAAAAAAAAGGTGGGTGAGGACTTTCCCACTCATAGTGAAGTAATAAGGTCAGAGATTATCCGTGTGACACCATGAGGAGCTTACCATTTCTCTTAAAATTTTGAGACTTAGAAAGCCAAAGTTTATCAAGCAAACAAAAGGGAAACCAGTGTTACATCACCTCACGTACAGACCCTGTATGCAAATGCGTACAGCTGACATGTACCGGGCCTCACCCCCATACAGTGGCATACACCTGTAGAGCAATTTTTTGGCCTTTTTTTTTGTTCTTAAAAAAGTTACAATGATTTCACATTTAATAACTTCAATTACATTTACAATTTTCATGTGTTCTTTTCGTTTGGGGGGGAGAAGAGCGCAACAATCGTAGCCCGCCATGTTTTGTTGAAAAGCACATCAAATAAGTGACTTAGTGAACACACGAAAAAGAGATTGCAGCTATGTATCAAAGGCCACAAAGGGCGGAAGAACAATGGACAAGGAAAGTACAAGTACAAAACTGCAAAAAAACAATTAACGAAAAAGACAAAAAACAGATGCTGACATACTGTTTCCTCAGACTTGCACCGACTCATCAGGAGGCTGAACACTTGACAATCTGCGAAATTCCCGTATTGATGATTTGAGTTATGAACTCCTTTAACCCCTGTTTTAAGAGGACAACCAGCAGTAACATCACAAGCAGCAAGGCAGGGACGAGCCAACAAGGGACTGGACAACATGAAGCAGCAAGGCAGGTAGGCTGGAGGCCAAGGGAGATGCAGGCAGGCAGACAAACAATAAGGAAAGCAGCATGACAGCACTATGAGCAGCAGTCAGAAGGCACAGAGGCAAAGGGCAGCGCACAAGGCAGCAAGGCAAAAGGCAGCAAGGCAAAAGGCAGCAAGGCGCAAGGCACACGGCTGCGAGGCAAAAAGCAGCGGGAAAAAAGGCAGAGAGGCAAAAGGCAGCCAAACTACAAGGCAAGCAACGCTGAAGGACAAGGCAAGCAGATGGACCAGAGTAGGCCATCACCTACTCGCACCACAATTAGAATACTCCAGACTGTTGGCTCAGACCACCCTCAGAGCCATGAAGGCCGTTCAACGGATGTCTGTCATCATTCAAGCAACACACAGACACAGACATCTCTGACAAGACAGCCCCCTTGATAGTGTTGCAGGCACTCCAAACAAACAAGCACCCACTATTTGGCATAACTCAAAGGATTTAGAGAATATGGGACGCTGGACCCGTTTTCAGCAGGTGATGCTCCCCACCAATAGATGGAGCCTGCCCCCTAGGTGCTAGCGGTGTCTGCTCTTATCAGCACCACTAGCACTGGAGGGGGTTGTTGTGTTAAAAAAAAGAAAAAAAGACACAGAGCAGTGTTGGGCCAGCAACCGGCCGGTTGGACTCAGGTCGATTTTTATTTTTTTTATTTTTTATTTTTTATTTTTTTGTTGAAAGAGGGGTTCGACTGCTCTCGCCAAGAACAGTCGGAATGCGCACAGAAATCCGTGATCTGAATTTTTCTTTCGTCGTGGTTGTGGCGGGGGGGGGGGTCCAGACAGGTTATGGTGAGGGTGGGGGGCTTAGTGTGGGTGTTACAGCAACCATGTGCATCAGCACACAAGGTGGGAGGTTGACGAGAGGGAGGGGTTTGCAACTTGGTGTTCTGACGCTGGGCGAGACAATGGAAACAGGAGAGGATAACAAGAGGAGGAGGAGGAGAAGAAGAAGAAGAAGAAGAAGAAGAAGAAGAAGAAGAAGAAGAAGAAGAAGAAGAAGAAGAAGAAGAAGTTAAGGGTAAAAAACGAACAGAACACACTGTCCAAACGGAGGACAAAACCAGGACACGATTTTGCCAAACACCGTAACAATCACGCATTCCCTCGACGCGTTTCGGCTTGTGCGTGCCCAAGCCTCATCAGGAGGAACAACATTCACCCATGACGATGTCGTAACATCCTCATGAACTTATAGTCCAAGAATGCATCATCATATGCTCAACACCTTCCCACACTTTCCAAAGTTCCCGGTCGGCTTTAGTTTTCTCACCACCTATACCCAAGTCCGACGACTTCCAGGCCGCGCACTCACTGAGATACCACAAGTAAGCGCCAGCCCTATAGACAGCAGGACCGTGGTCGTGGGAATAGGGCCCCTCTACGAAGTGTAGAATAACTCACCCGCCGTATCAGCTCTCCCCACAGTGGCTGGCCTTGAAGCATGCGCCCTGTGTCGTGGCTGCTCTGGCGCTGCAGTAGGTGGGAAGGCGTGGACCTGCTGCTAAGCCTGCAGCGCAACCCTCGGTGAGGCGGGCTCCCACGCAGATCCTTGGTGGTAGTAGCAAATATTCAAATGAGAACGGAAAGTTCCACAGGTGAGCAGCCGTTGTAGCGGCCTCCCCACAGCGCCCCGGACCGCTTTTCCCGCATATTGCTCGTCCCTCTTTCGAGTCCCGGCGGGCATGCACACACTCAAATTTCTCACAGCAGATCATGGCTGGCGGATGGTGCCCCCGCGGCAACCCCCGCCGCTCAAGTTCCTTCCGGCTCGTGGGCTAATCACTCCCCGTCCCGTACGCACGTCGGACTCCTCAGTCCGTGTTTCAGGACGGACATGGTCGAAGAAATTCCGCCGGCACTTCGAGCACGCCTGAGTCCGCAGGTCAACCAAAAGAGACGTGCGCTCAAGGTCCTCGACTGCCGTGATGGCTACCCGTGGCCGGTGCCAAGTCCGGCCTACAAAAAGTCAAAACATGGAATTAAATAATAACAACGTCAATTAATAAAATAATAAAATATCTGACTTTTTATCGTCGGAATACGGTAAACGAGAAAAAGGGACCACTAGCACCGTTCTGACGCTTCTAACGACAAAACCAAGGGGGATAGCCCCACCGGGCCTTCAACCCCGCGCTCCGTCCACGCCACTCTGATACCCTTGCGCCGTCGCCGCTCGATCTCAATCCCTGAACTTCTCAGATGAAAGTCCGATGCCATAACTAATAGTGCTAGGCCCGAGTCTGGGTCTAGCTCTCAGACTGGCGGACGCCTAAATAAACGGACACTGCACGACGCGCCGGTCTACCGAAAACACTTCAAGGCCTCCTTGTTGTCGATGTCGTTCTTCGTACGTACGCATAGGTCACAAATAAAACACACCAATCAGGAGACAAAATCCGTTTTATCCTAACTTAATCAGAAAAATAAAAATCTGGTCGGCGACCATGCCAGCTTTTCAGTCATCAAGGATAAAAAGAAATCACGCGCGCCTTAAGTCTGTGCGCCCACACACTCTCTACTCTAGTCAGCCATCCAGTCAATCATAAACCACAGACGTCACTGCGCCTCGTGCCGAATACTTAAACTTTAACCAAACCTTTTTCTTTGTCACTTGCAAAAACCAGGGTGGACACCCTTGTAAGGGTATTCGCACCGACAACGGGCCACTATATGAGCGCCCAAATTCATCCGACTTGAAACGCTTCTACTCCTTTGTTTTCCACGACCGATAGCTGGGCCAAGTACTGGTGGATTAAGTATGATCATGTATTGTGGCATGTACATTGTTGTAAAGTCAATTGTGTGACATACAACCTCGAAGGGATTGTGCATTCTTCTTGACGTCTAAAATGACTTCCTCAACATTTTGCACGATCCAGCAACGTTGCACACCACTTTCTCGGTAAATTTTATTGTCCTTGCTGCGCAAAGACTTGATCACACCTTGAAAAGCATAACTATGTGAGGGAGAGGCCATTGCTGTACTTGCAAGGGGCTTATGGAGGGAATTGGACAAGGTAGGATATCAGTATATTGATAGCCCCAAAAATGATTGAAAAGCGCGTGGCGATCGAGGATGCTGACCACGGTCTGTCATGATTGATCGCTGTCAAGATGTTGTGATAACTTATATGTGTGCCAACATTTGAAGCAAATCAGCATGTTGTATGATGTTTTATCAACAGGGACTATGGCGAAGTGTTGTTGTAGCTACTTCAGAGATGTATTGGCGATTTGTGAGGCAGCTCGAGTAGATACTTGGTACGGTGTTGTAAAAATATTTCGTTGGCATCTTGAAGTAATTGTTTCACTGTGTGACTCCAAGAATTGGATGAAGAACGGGTGGGGACTTACGTGCTTTGAGTGCAAAGTAGAGATAAGGTAGGGTATCGGTATGTCGATAGCCTCAGTGATGATTGAAGAGCGCGTGGCGATAGAGGATGCTGGCCACGGTCTCTAATGATTGACCGTAGGTAGAGTTGTCAGGATGCTGTCATAACTTATATGCGTACCAACGTTTGCAGCATATCGCCATGTTGTGTGGTGTTTTATCAACATGTACTATGACAAAGTGCTGTTGTAGCTGCTTTTGAGATGTATTGGCGATTCGTGAGGCAGCCCGAGTAGGTACTGGGTACGGTGCTCTAGAAAGATTTCGTTGGCATCTTGAAATAATTGTTGTGTGCCATCTGCGCAGTGTGTGCTTACACACACACACAGTATCAAACGATGGCATGTTGCTGCAGCAGCAGTAGTCCAACCTTAGGACTCACAGATGTGCGTGTGTGTGTGCGTATGTGTGTGTATATGTGTCACTGTGTGTGGCTGCATAGAACTGTCACAAAGTTAACCAACACACACACCCCTTTGAATTGAATGACAACAACAACGGCAACCCTTTTTTTCCCCCCAGACCTTGTTTCACTCAAATGTGGGATGAGCTTCACAGCCATTCGACGCCCTTCATGTTTGGTACTCCATCCTCCTCGCATGTACTTCGTGTACTATTCTATAAAGTTCATTTAAAAAAAGGACATGCCAGGCTGGACTGAAGCCAACAGCAAGAAAGTGCAACAGGAGCAACAGCCAACTGCCTTCCAGACTCCAACTGAAGTGGGACTCAGTGGGTGGCTATTTGGGGACATTTTAACGCCATACCACTCCGCCAAACATGTTTTTCCATGCGGTTTTTGGACTCCATGGACACGATCGGAGAGGCCGACACAAAAAACAAAACAAAAAAGTCCTACGGCAGCCCTAGGGTCGCATCCCGTAAAGGTGCAGACCAGAACAAGAACCGACCTCTCTCACATGGTACAAGATAGCACAGTGGAAGGCTAATATACCAATGATCAGACCAATCAATGTCGTAATGCAGACCA